CACACACACACACACACACACACACACACACACACACACACACACACACACTGATGTATATATACACATGCATGCATACCCACATAATGTCTACACTCTCTAATGAAAACTGATATGTATCTCTCACATTTCCTCACAGGCTTTCACTCCCCCTCAAGGATTGGCTGTCAATACACAGTGCACAATACAGCACCTCAGAAAGTCACCATCCATTTTCAATGTGCACGTTTATACGCCATGTGTCTGTGGGGGTGGACAGTGCATGTGTGGGAGAGTGATGATCAATAATCAATACAAGAAAATCAGTCAAGGCATCCCCCCTTGGACCAGTATAAAGCACTGGATGGACCTCTCCACTTCTCTGCCTAGCTATCCCATCCATCTCCTCTCTGTTCTCTCTTTCATCTTCATGATCTCAAACCATTTTTCACCACAACCAGCGGGCTTCTCTCCACCTCAATTATCTAAGTGAGGGCCGGAGCGGTTTGATGGAACTCCAGTGTCTGTTGGAGGCAAACCAAATCCGCAACCAGAAAAGAAAAGAAAAAACATTTAAATATACACAACTTGGCACTTGGCATTTAAAAATAATTTGTATCAGGCATCTCTCTGGATGGAAACACACTTTAAAAATGTACGACCCTGAAAGGAGACTAAAGGATCTGAAGATGTTTTACCTCCTCCTGACTTTTTGTTAACTAGATATCTTAATGAACAGAAATTAATCAATATATTGGGAACAAACACGCTGGCCAGCTCAAAGTCGCAGCTGTCCATCAATGCTTATTGACAGACTAGTTGAGGACTGTACTGGTTGTAGTTTAATAACCTAAATCAGGCTTTTCATTTTCGCCTTCCTTTTTTTCCCTCTCCTTCTCCAGCCTCTCATTTCTCGCCCAGCCGCTTCTCTCTTCCGATCGCACTCCCCCAGTTTTTGACGCCCACTGGAAGAGCACAGGAGCCGAGGGAGAGAGAAAGTGAGGGGGAAAAAAAGGAAAGAGAGGAAAAACACGAAAGCAGGCGTGGAGTTGATTTAGAAAAGATACAGACAGAGAAAGAGTTGGCGGTTGAAAGAAGAATAGACCGACAGAAAAGAAGAAAGGAGACGAAGGAGCGACAGAGAGGGAGAAATTCAAACCATGATTTTTCATCAATAAAAAGAGGCTGCTACTAAAACAGTCAATTTCATGAAGTAATGAGTGGGAGAGTGACAAAGGAGAAAAGAAGCCAAGGCACAGCCAGCAAAACAAAACAGGCAGATTTTTCAAGCACTGACAATAACAGAGAGAAACCAAGTATGAACTGGAGACCACAGTCTACAAACAGACTGAGAGAGACACATAGGTAGAGATGAGACACACACCCTGCTGGCTTATTCTAATAGACTACCTGTGAATCTTTTTACTAACATCCTCCTTCACATGATCAATATATAACAGGCTGCATTCATGGACGTAATGTGTCCACCTTTTTAGCTAGAGGAACACAGCTCTCTGTGATTCGTTAGTCCCCAGAGTACAGATGGAACAAGGATAGAAGGGCCTCTAGATCAGCAAGGTGAGTACAACATGCACCTAGCCTCACTGAGACTCACAAACACACACACAAGCACGCACACAACCAACCAAAATAAACACAATAGCAGCCAGGGGCCGATGCAGCTTATTAAACTCCCCATTACACAGACAAATGAGATCCTGGCCTCCTACTGATAATCTGCCCCCTATGTCCTCTGCATTGTTGCATTACATCACCCAAAGCAGCAACTGTCAAGCCTGGTCACTACAGAATACAACCCACTAACAACATGGGCACGGTGGTGGTCAGACCAAGTGAGTGTACCAATCATGAATTTGGTGATTAACTGTGGAAAAGCTGATTCTAATTATCTGAGCGGCTTTGTGACCTGGGTTAGTGATGCAGGCTAATGTCCCTGGTTTGAGTCTGGCTACTGTCCTTAGCTCCTTTCTTTAACACCATCCACTCCAGGCTACCACATTACATTATGGTAACTAGTTTAAAAACCAAAGTTAGATTCAGATTCCAGCACATATGCTATGTATAGCTATAGCATGTATGACAGCCTTGTTAGACAGAAACTATGTTTACATCGACAGCAAAAATCGGACTATTCCAAAAGATATTTTGATTATGACGTTTACATAAGTTGCTAATAGAATATTCCATTCATATTCCCGTTCACATGTAACACAGCATCGTCTGACTCGTCAACATAATGTTCGCTATGTCTTGTGAAAACTGAAATAGTTTAATCCACAGTTCTACCTCAACCCTTTGAGTGTTTTCTAGTTATGCAAAACCTTCATCTCCTCGTTCTTCAAATCAAACCCAGGGCAAGTGTCAGCAAGCAGTTGGTTACTGCCATATGTTGATGTCACAAAATGCTGAGAAAAATCCAAGAGGACATTATGTCGCCATTAAGACCTAAACATGACTACTTAATATGACTAAGGTCGAAGTACTTAACATGTCTTAATTTGATTATTGATTATTCCAAATATGACCTCAGTCAGGTTGAGGTTATCAGAAAATGCTGTTTAAATACTGAATTCACACAATTATCTTATTTGGTATAATATCAGAATATTATATGTCCATGTAAAAATGTACATTTGTGGACTTTTTGGGACACTTGGATGTAATGATGCAACATTAAAAAGAAACATTAAATTACTATTGCACTCTCATTTAGTTGGAGGGCTTGAACAAGGACTTCAACTATTTTAAAGTTCAGAAGCAGAACAGATGAAAAAGCCCAGACAGAGAAATCCTGACTTCTAGCTCCTATTTTACTCGCCCACTCTCTCTAATATTTCCCACAATGCAACATGATAATGTCTTTCATCAGACCTGGTAAATACAAATGTCCTTCAAACACCACACCCTTATTTTGTGACGCAGGCTTTCTGGCTTTCTTTGTTGCTCCTACACCCAACCCCAGATAACCGTCATGACATCAGTGTGACATCACAGGGGTTTTCTCCTCCAGAGCTGCAGAACACTTCATGTGTCTGTTTTCCAGGCTAAGGAGTGCTAACTATGGCAGCTAAAGTGTAAAATGACTCGAGTGTCCTCGTAAGTATCACTGGTCCGTCCCCTCACCTTTGTGTACACGCCCCACGACAGCTCCGTCTCAATCACCATGACAACGATTCCAAACATTCCGAAGATGAGAGCATAGTCACTCAGCCTCTTCCTCTTCTCGAATAATGCCCTGCGATGCCCCAGTTTATAGCCAATGTTTTGGTTCTTCCGTTTGGAGGCCTTGGAGGTGCTGCCCCGAGCCCCGGTGCCCACTGCCCCGACCCCGCCTTGCCTGCTGCTTCTGCCCGGCTGCCCCCGCCTGCTCTCCACCAGAGCGTGGTTCTGGTGGTAGATGGACATCTGGTTGGATGTGGAGTCGGTGATGTCATACCCTGCTCTGGGGTACGGTGAGTCTTCTTTGGATGAAATCACAATCTCCGGAGGGCTCTGGATTGGGGGTTGATTGGTAGAGGACTGGGCCACCAAAGATGTGGGAGGGGCTTCTCGCTGTCGGTCATGTCCCCCAGCTGCCGTTGCCCCGGCAACAGCTGAAACGCCACCCTCTTTGGTTTCGCTGCTGCTGTCTGATTCAATGAGGTTTCTGCGGGAGGCGCTAAGGCGGCTCAGGGGCTTCATGACCCCGCCTGTGTACTTGCAGGAGCTCATGGCGATCTCTGTGAAGGGGTTACTGTCCCTGCGGTGAATAAGAGGGCTAGCTTGTCTATGTTTGCAGCCCCGCTCTCTTTCCCTGTCCCTGTCACGTTCTCTGTCCCTATCCCGCTCCATGGATGGCGAGTGGGAGGAGTAAAAGAGGGCGTTGTAGACTGGGGAGTTGTCCCCACTCAGGCTGTGCTGTGAGCCCAAGCAAGAGGACAACGGGGTGCTGGTTGGGTGCAGGGCGTTGGGGATGGGTGGCGGCAGTGGCTGCGCTCCAGAGGAAGACAGGGGCAATTTAGGGAGTGACACTGAAGGTACGCTGGGCGTGGCAGGGGATGGGGTGGTGCCATTTAGACGGTCGAGGCTCGATCCTCCCATGTGGTTGGAGTGGTTTGATCCTGGCTGGTTGCCAGTGGCGGAGGAATGGGATATAATGCCCAGGGGATAGAGGAAGCGCTGGTCCTCATCCTCACTCCCTCCTAGCAGAGCCAAGCTCAGAGAGGGGGGAGGCTCCATGGTCACGGCTGTGGCCTCGCACCTGTCTACAGAAACACAAAGAAGATAAGAGAAGAACTGTAAAGACACAAGATTTAAAATCATGATGGCAACAATGAAGACAGGGCAGAGAGAAGGAAGGAGTTGTGATGGATTGTGGTTTGTCAAAACAAATGAGGGGAATAACTGAACTCCAAAAACTGAAGCCGTGTGACACAGAGGAGGCAGCAGACTGAAGAAAAGTGGTCGTAATTGGGGGAATATGTTATTCCTTGAGTCACACTTGAGTCAGCTGCCCAGTCAGCCTCTCTCAGCTGATCGCTCGCCGTTTCCCAGTGTCCCCTCCTTCTCTCACATCTCACAGTGCTTCCAGCAATCCATGCCATAAAATGTCCTCTGTGTTACATTGTTGTTAGCCTGGAGAATGGTGCAAATCCTCCGGCTTTACAACATGGAAATGAGATCAGGCACAGAGACTAGAGGATAATCATTCCACATCAGTGCACTGTGACAGCAAGGGGAAAGTACTGGGACTAGTCAACCACAAGTTGGCTGCGTTTAATTGATCCAAAAACAATAACCTACTTCCAGTGTGATATAACCAGACACCTTCACAGCCCCCCCACATCCTCCCAATCTGTTTCTCTACCTACCTCCAACCTCTTCTCTCTCAGTCCCTGTCCCCCAGGTTATAGGTGCGTTGAATCACTGGCAGGATGAAAATAGACCACCGCACTTTTTCTTTTTCATGTTGTCACGGCCATCCCATCATCTTCTATTCGCCTCCTCTCATTTGGCTCTCCACAGGTCCTCCCAGCTTGCCTCTCGAAATTGTGCGTCGCTTTGCCCCCCTCCCGCCCCGCCACCCCCCCCACCACCACCACCTCACACACAGATGTTGCCTCCGTGTCTGCGCCCTCTCACTTGGATGTGGTCAGTTTGTTCGCCTCTGTGCCATCGCTGATCTATGCACGGTGCCCATTTCGACGCTGTCAGTGACAATCGACCCGAGATGAGGAGGAGTAAGAGTAATCCATGGTGACTGGATTAAATCGGTCAACCTGTGGCTGCGCGTCAAAAAATTGTGCAGCGAAAAAACACCACAAGAAAGACCACCCCAAAATACGCACGGCTGGATGTCAGGTAACAGTCTTCGGATGAGCAGTGGAGTCTGAGATTTCCCTGCGTGACTCCTCCACCGACTTCCACTCCACACACAGCTCACTGTCTCCCCGGATCCGTCTCTCACTCTCTCCTCCAACTTCTCTCCCTCTTTTCTCCGCCTCCACTCCCTCCTTTCACTCCCATTGGACGGAATCAGGAGGCGAAATAAGCGCTGAAAACAGGTGGCAGGGTTCCGCAAAAAAAAAAAGAATAATCACAACAAATGTGTAATTTATTGAAGAGTTTTATTGTTTTTTTTTATTCCCTTCTTATACATGTGATCCATGTCATCATCTATAGCCCCTGCTTGTTTGGCGCATGTATTCGCATTTTGGCACCTGTTACGCCCGCCATTGGACGCTGGAGCAGGCAACTCCAAGATTCATTATGCACATTTATCATTCATTTATATGTAGAACAAAAACACCTCTCGATGACACAAAACTACGGTTCACAAATAAAGAATGAAAAAACAACAACATATGGTGAGGAGGTGGGCGTGGTAGCAGGAGAAGCAGGAGGGGCGGCACCGTGCGTCTCCAGATCACTATGGGAAACACCTCTTCCTTTCTATTCACAGATTAGGCCATGATAAAATGTCACAGGCTAATGTGATATATTAGAGTTATTCCTCATCGCCCTTTGAGTGTATCTGCAGAGCTGCTGGATACAAGGGCCCTTACAGAGATAATTAAAGTTGTATTAAATTCTATGTGAATAATTGATGCCTGAAAGAAACAAGGCATGTCAAAGAAAATTCCTGATGGTTGATTTACAGGAGATGCATGTAACCACAGGATTTTGTGCCATAGGGAGTCTCTGATTCCATCCTTTAGAAGACTAATTAATTCATAATGCCAACTCTATAGAGTCTATACAGCATAATCCGTCTTAATTAGACTATTCCACCTGGCTTAATCGGTTTAATGTTATGGTTTTCTGTGTGCATTACAGTGCTCTCTTTAATCGGATGAGCATAGACGCTGTGTGGGAGCGGATTAGACCGTTTCCTCATAACAGGTCAGCCTATCCTGCGATTATGCAAGATGACAGACATCAATAAAGCAAATCATATCATGTGGTGGATGATTCCAAGTATTTATTCAACACCAGCTATGTATCACTCAAACAGGTGATGTGTAGGGAAGACAGAGCTGCATCATGCTTAAAATCTGTTGTCAATTTCATGGTTACTTGTCCTTATGTTTGTCTGTTTTTGTCCTTATGCTCCAAAACGTCTCTTTCTAAATTCAACGGCGGGTTATTTCATCCGTCCCTTCCTCACGAGTAGCAAACAAACACAGTAATGTGTTGTTTCTTTCCCCCGGGCAGATTCGTGATGGGTCAGTGATGGAGAGTAGCTGCTTCAGTGAGTGGTAAATATTTCATAAAGTCCCCGGGAAAAGGTCAAAGGTCATTTCGGCACCATCACAGGTCAAGGCCCTGTATTTATTTAGCTTTACTGGGAACAATGGGCCAGAATATATGTTTTTCAGAATATGGCAGGTTTGGGATTGAGGTTGGACTTAGTATTTTGGTTTAATTAAGTGGAAAAGTAGTTGATGATTATTTCTATGGATCCAGGAACATGAGGTAGAGCAGAAATTATCAGTTGATTAGTTAATCAACAGACTATGCAATTATTTCGATAATCAATTGGTTGTCTATATGTAATTTTTCAAGCAAACAAGGGTATTCTGGTCCTGGCTCTTAAACTAAAGAGAGGATGTGCTATTTACAGTTCATTTTACTGTAAATCAAATTCCTTTGAGTTAAAACACAAGTGGGTATGAAAGCCAAAAACGTACTTTATGAAAATAAGCACTCAAGCGTGAAGGTTGTCATCAATTTTACAATCTGAGTTGGTGTACAAATAAAATATGGGCTCACAGATGCCTCTTTCCCACATGTTTAATGTAGAGAGCAATAAAAGAGAGTTGAGACATTTTGAAAAATGATATGTGTGTTTTATATAAAGTATTAAATGTAACATCATTAATAAAACAGATGCAATCACTGCTCCCAGTCAGATTGAAGTCAACATGGTGCTGACATCAGTAGCATTCATGGAGCTCACCGCACTCTGAGCTGAGGTCCTTTTATATTAGCTGCCGTTTGAAATCCAGACTCCAACAGCACTGAAAGAAAAAAACAGTGAAGCCAAGGATGCTTACGTCACATCTGAATCTCTTTCCTTAATCTGAGTCATGAGAGGCTGCCGAGAGCAGACCTGGGATCAGCAGACCTCTAGAATCTTATTGGAATATGTGTGAATGAAAGCATGAAATGATCAAAAATAGTAGTATAGAACTCTGACAAAATAAAAGTCATATTTTCTGCAAAAGGTTTCAAAATCTTCCTAGATAAGAATAAGAGAGAATAGTATGTTGCTCCAATAAGTACAATTTACTCAAAAACGTAACTCAAGTACATGTATATTCATTTGATTATTAAAGAGAATAATCTATTTATTCATTTTATGAATAATGATTAGCTGCAGCTCTATAAGAACAAACAGAAAGAACACAGATCATGGCTTTCTGATCTCACCTGCACAGTAGGTAAATTCCTCCCATCTGTGTTTTTATTTAATTTGATCTGTCATGATTAATAGTCACAGCTGAATAACACAAAGGAATAATAATATATTAAACTTTAACGTTCCTGCAGTTTCTTCACAGCAAGAGAGGGAAAAGAGATTTTAAAAAATCACAATAGAAAGCAGTGAAGCATTGTCAATGGGAGAAAGGGGGGCTGCAGGGGACCCAGGGGGACATTAGGCCTGACAGAAAATAGGAGTGGTGGCAGGCCCACGCTGTTTATCTTTCACAAATCTTAATATTATAGACAGAGGTTAGGGGGCAGCAGAGCAAGATGGAGAGTTAGGAGCAATGGAAGCAGAGGGGAGTGACAGGAAGGAGGATTGACTGGCCCCTCTGAAGGAAAAGGTAAGTCCACAGTCCTGCCCTGCAGCATCCGTCAGATTTACGCTGTGAGAAATATGTGAACGAGAGAGGGAGTGAGGGAACACCATGCCCACTGCGGAGTGCTTTGAATGAGTGGTTGTCGAGACCCCAACCGTAACCCAACCCCCCATTTTAAACATGTGTAGAACCTGGTTAGTGGGAGAATACAAAGAGGAACAATAAAGTCGGACGGCAGTTGCTATGCCAACGCTGTAGTACACAGATGAGTTCTTGTTCAGCCGGATCCATCCCTCTTTCTTGTCTCCCTTTGAGTTTAAAGCCACATAAAAGCTTGACTAGAGCAATGATACAGTATGAATCATGTAAAACTTCCAAGAGATACAACAGGCCGTGGGTGGGAGAGGAAATATAGGAAGAGAGTCACGTTTATAGGCTGGGAAAAAAAGATGTAGAGAAAATGTGAGAATAAAGAGGAGAGGTGTGGATTAGATTCAGATTGAAAGGACAAGAGATCCTCCCACCTCACAAACACACACCAACCTATTCATCTATGTGCTATCATATTTTCTTCTGTGCAGTGTTCAGCCTTTCAGTTTTTCGCTTTACCTGAAGTTGTTTTTATATATGAACTTGGAAAGTGTTCGGAAATTTGGGTTTGGACACTGTCTGGACAGAAAAATGTCCGGAACATTCAGGAGACATTGGTCACTAAATAAAGCTCTAAAAAGTCATTATCTTTGCTAGTTGACATCTTCGTCGGCATCTTCTACAATTGCGACTCGTCTTTCTTTCATTCTGTGACAATTGCATTCTTTTTGTTTTGTATTTCCAGTTTTGCATCACATGTTAGAAACGCCATCAATGCACTCGCTATGAATTTTCCAAACATTTTCCTGCTGCAGTCTCACATGGACTCGCTTGAACATCCTCCAGATATTTTACAAGGGGGCTGGCAGGAAAATGTCCAGGGTAACCGACTTGGACATTTGCGTCCTCACATTCAGACCCTCTGGAAAATTACAGGAAAATGTCTGGACTTCAGTGCAGGTCTTTAAAGGTGCTAGCTGTTTCTTTCTGTCTCTTGCATTTGTGCTATAAGCTAAACTAATAGATATTTACCATATAGGCATGAGAGTAGTATCCATCTTCTCATAAAACTCTTAACAACAAAGTAAAATCTCTTCCCAAAATGTCCCAACATTAGGCCGATTCTTTAAGAGCGAGATGTACTCTTATTAAAATGTGCTTTTTGGCAGATGAATAACTTTAATAGCTTCAGTATTGGCACACCAGGAAGTAAGGTTTCCAACACACCTTCTGGCTAACAGGGTTCACTGTGACAGCTATGATATGCTGGTTAATACTAAAACATAATAAAGTCAGCACAAGTGAGCAAACTTACTCAGTGATGTTACTTTGAAAAATTGATCAAAATTGCTGTCGTCTGCTGCCATAGGCGACTGGTCACACCAATTAAAGACTGTAACTCAGAAAGCCCTGACTGTTTATTCAGTTCAATTCTTCATTTGTGACAGGTAACATAAAAAAAATCACTCAAAAGTGAAATACTTAGATAGACCTCCCCCTTGAGGAAAAGCCGAAATAATAAAATGTAAAATATTTTATTACAAGTAAAAGTTCTGCACTTAAAAGTTTGTTTGAGAAGAACTTCTCAAAAATATATATAGTGCATAACAGCTCATAATACAGAATGATCTTACAATGGTGCTACATCACGGTGACA